TTTTTGTGGGGGGGGGGGGCATTGAATATGAAAGCCAGCTCTTCTAATTCCTGGTATTTATTCATTTGAAAGAAACATTTATTGAACACCTTCTGTATTCCAGGCACCAAGCAAGGCACTGAGGATACAAAGTCTAATGGGATACGTTTCTTCATATCTTCCAGGATCTTGTAGTCTCACCCTATGAATGTTGTACCCTGAGGCTAGGATGGAGATATGTGCAGGGACCTGTGAAAACACAGAACATCATGGAAGCTCCATGCAGGCAGTGACTTATCTATTCTGTATCACACTGTCTAGAACACATAATAGTCACTTGATAAAGGAATGAATGAATAAGTGAATACATCTAAATCAGACTGTGCTGTCAAGTAAGATTTCCTGGAAAGAAGACTGAGGAGTGTATTCGAGAAAGAATGACAGGGAAGGACATTCTAACTGCCCCTGCCCTTATGTGGTTCTCAGTCTTCCAGGGCTAGGGGAACCCTCAGGCTATTACTAACCATTTTGTGTAATGATGAAGCATTTTTAAGAACAATTTGGGATAAACACAGTTATTTCTGTGTTCTTTCAATTAGAACTCTGTGTGTATTGATGGTTGGGTCTAAGCTTTTGTCCCTGAGACACTAATATTATTTGGCATAAGAAAATGTGGCCATTGAAAAATAAAATAAAAATGTTGTCAAGTCTCTCCCTTCTGAATGGCACTTTGGACAGAGAAGTGTTTTTTTGAGTATAGACTACCAGCTAAAGACCTTGACCTCCCCCACACAAACCAACATTCTGAGGAGCACTACGTCCTGTGGTCATATCTGTCCGTCAGGGGGGTGCTTTTAGCCAAGAGTTTCACAGGTTTAGGCTCAGCCCTGCCTATGAGAGTTCTTAAGAACTCAGTTATTTTCTACATTAGTATTAAACTTCATAAAGTGCTTCTTAAGAACAAAGTTGGGGTACATTGAGCAGATTTTATGATATTAGTCTTATTTTCGCAAAAATAAATAAATAAATAAATAAATAAATAAAATCAAGGCTCAGATTGATAAATTGATTTGATGAAGATCACACAGTTAGATAGTGCGGGCGGGGAGGGGGGTGGGGGCTAGGGCGGGGATGGGCTGGACCTTGACCTCAGGGTTTGGCTCCAGGTCTGTGCTCATTCTCCTGCTCTGCATTCCCTTCCAAGGGAACAGCAAGACTGGAAGCATCAATGGAGCCACTAGAGACTAATTAAACAAACAAAAAATGTGGGGGTAGCATCATGTCCTGAGGTTGAAAGATGGATGCAGCAGGGTTTGCTGGCCATTGCAGCAGCCAGACAAAGGGCCCCACACTCGCAGTGGCTTTAACAATCAAGAACTACTGTCACCCATGCACTCTGTGTGCCAAGCACGTCCTGCTCATTGCAGTCCCTCAGGGACCCAGGCTGCAGCGGGCTTCACCTTGACATGCTTCCATCACCTCGGAGGCAGGGAAAAGAGTTAACTGTACACTGACTTTTAAAGCTTCTGCCTAGAGGTGACAAATGCCACCCTGCTCCCATTTTATTGATTGAAGCAAGTCACCTGGCTAAGTGTGCCATCAATACTCTCCCAGGGAAGGCAATGAATCTCCACAGCCTGCCACCTCTGCTCAAGCAGCTTTTATCTTCTAAAGCTGTAACAGCTACGGCAGCGCCATTGTCAAAACAGCAGCTCTGAGTCTGAAGGACAATCACTGATCTCTCACCTGATCAGACTGTCACACTTTGTGCTTCTGCCAGAGGATACCTTTGTGCAGGGATCTGATCTCTTAGCCACGGGGGCGGGGGGGGCGGGGGGGGCGCTCTGAATTCTCTTTGTGTATCCAAATGCGCTGCCTGCAATGGCTAGAATCCAAGTAGCTGTGAAATAGTTTACGCTTTCATCGCCAGCCACTAGTCTAAGCTCTATGAAAGCTCTAGTTTGTTCAGTACCTTGCACAGTGTCTGACATACACAGTGCTGATAACAACTCACACATGTGCTAGCTACTCTTTAAATCTTCACAACCCTAAGAAGAAGGTACTGTTACTATGCTCATTTCACAGATGAGAAAAATGTGGCACTGCGGTTCAATGACTTACTCGAGTTCCCTTAGCTAATGATTAATAAATGGAATCAAGAGAGTCCCCATTTTAAAGCTTACTATGTAAAACTGTAAACAACAAATGTTGAATATATTGCTGAATCACTCATTTTAGTTTGTGAATTTGGGGGTAGGAGTGGGGTTAAAAGCATTTAATTGGCAATTCACTAGAAGGCACTATTTCACTATTGTGTACCAAGAATATTAATATACCACTAGTCATAATCATCAATTGATAGCCTAGGATAAAGGCCCACATTAAATGTTCTCAAAACCTATTTTGGGCCCTAGCCTGTTTGGCTTAGTGCATAGAGCATCGGCCTGCAGACTGAAGGGTCCCGGGTTCAATTCCAATCAAGAGTACATGCCCGGGTTGCAGGCTAGATCCCCAGTGGGGGGCGTGCAGGAGGCAGCCAATAAATTATTCTCATCACTGATGTTTCTTTCTTTCTCTCCCTGTCTCTTCCTCTCTGAAATCATTAAAAATATATTTAAAAAACACACATTTTGGCATTTTATAGAAACAAGGACAAGGCTGTTGAGAAAAGTGAAAGGTGTTTCTTTGGGCCTGCACATGAAGACCAGGAAATCAGGGCTCCTACCTATCCTATCAGCTGTGGGAGGCTTTGGCCTCATGGGGTGTGAAGTATTCTGTTGTTAAAATGCTACAGAACAGAGTAGCCCACACAAGTGTTACCATTTTTGTTTTGGCTGCTGTTCAGAAGAGCTAGCTCAGGAAGGACAGATGGCAGGCTGTCATCAGAGGCCTGACTTTTGGCTCACGGGCATGTAGCCACATGAAACGTTCTACTTCCTAAGAAAGCATTTCCTACTTCCAGTCATATTTATAGCCTCTGACACCTCACTGCTCCTCCTTAAAGATCGCTTAACCGTGTCAGTCACCGCTGACTGACACTATACTTTCTGTCCGGACGACAAAACAGGCTGGGCGCTTGCTCAACGTGTTAAAGCCTTTCTTGACGTCAGGAAGTCTTCCAACCTAGATCTGACCACTTAAACTGGAGCTGGAAGGCCCTTACAGTAGCACCCTATTTATGTTAAAACCCAGCGCTGCTGATTCTTGCTCCCACGTTTTGTTTTCATGTTTACATTCTGAAACAGAATCTTTCCTTGCTAGCTCTAGTGTTGCCTCCACGACTAAAGAAATACAACTTTGTCTTGCCAAATTTGTTGTTCCCCAAACCTAGAAAAGAATCACAGGGCAGAATTTCTTGCTCACTGAAGCAACACTCTTCATTTAAGTCACAGTGTTCCAACGTTCCCATAGGCTGGAAGCTCCATGACTCGTCGATAAACCCTTCCATAGCTTTTGCATTTCTGCAGGGCAGGGGTTGCAGATTCCAATGCCAATAGTGACCATCCAAGTAATGTGAGTAAGTAAAACAAGCAGGGCTGGACAGTGGTGTGGCATAGAGGCAGGTTCTGTCTGTAGGAGCCACTGCCTGGAGCTCTGGAAAGGGGCTCCATGGTGCCTATCTGTTTTTGTTTTTTTCAAGAGAAGTTCAAAATTCAGATGTTTTAAAAGGTGAAAACTTCTGCTTTTTAAATGTCATCTCAAATTTTAAAATATAAGGGAGAAAGGGCACTCCAGGCAGCGAAAACTTGAGAGAATGGGTACATTTGCAGAGATTCAAGTCATTGAATGTGCTAGGGTGCAGCACATGGCGGGGAGTACTGGGAAATGGGGCTGGGAAGTCACTTGGATTGTGTGTGTGGGCGATGAGATTCCGGTTAAGGAGAGCAGCACTCATATAACACGGACAGATTCACCTTTGAGTGGTGAAGAGGAGGAGTCCAGGAGGGAAAATGGATCGGGACAGGACTCAGTAGGGTGCCACCAGTCAGAGGAACATGCTGAGGTCCACCATTGACCAGGATGCAGAGGGCAGATGGACTTAAGAGCTCAGAGGAGGAGAGTGAGCAGGATGTGGGGATGGATAGTGAGGAAAAAGGAAGTAGAAGATGCCACTCAGGTTTCTAGTTTGGAAAAGGGAGTGCTGAGTGAATCTTGTCATTCACAGGGGCCGGGAATATAGGGGCAGGAGCAGGCAAGCTGGGCTAGTGAGTGGGGGAAAGGCGGAGGTGGTGCCTTCAGTGTTTGACGAGTTTTGTATGATGTGCTTGTGAGACCTACAGGTGGGCTGGAGACAATTTTTTGGGAGACTTCATGCAAAGGCAGTGCTTGAAGTCTTGGGAGGGGAGGGTGAGACAAGAAACAGCCTGGGCACAGGAGCTGGAGAACAACCATCTTTAGGGTAAAAATAGAGGATGATGACTTGTGGGGTGAATGAAGAGCAAGTACTCTCACTTTCATCACATGTACCCTCCGAGACCTGACCCCCACAAAGAGCCTCAATGGGGGCATGGGGCAAAAGCAATGCTTCCCTCCATAGATTGAATACAATAAAGAAGTTTTCCTGGGGTTGCCCATCCTCTCCCATGCAACTATTCAAAAAGCAACCATGGCTAGGCATTTTATCACACTCGGAAAAGGGTGCACCGTGACTTGGGCTTTGACTCCATCAGCAGGCTTTCTAGAGATTCAGGCAGCTATCAGCTTTTGAATCTGCACGGGCATATCGTGGGGAACAGAACCCAGATGCCAGCCTCATGGGGCTTGGGCTAAAGTTAACTGTAAAACACCACTTGGCACTGGGCACCAGACACCCTCAGTTACTGTGCTACTCCAGTTGCCCCATAGCACTGCAGGGGCCTTCAGAATATGGTAGCCATCTGCCATGGCCAGGTGGCTCAGTCGGTTGGAGCATCATCCAGTAGAGCAAAGGGTTGCGGGCTCCATCCCTGCTCAGCGCACATACCTAGATTGCAGGTTTGATCCATGATCAGGGTGAGTACAGCAGGCAACCTTCTCTCTCTCCGCCTTCTCTCTCCTGCTCTCTAAAAAAAAAATAAAATAAAAACAGTGAACATATCCTCGGGTGAGGATAAAAAAGAAATATGGTAACCATTTTTGAAACATTTTTAAAGATAAATATATTTTGCCCTAACCGGTTTGGCTCAGTGGTTAGGGCGTCGGCCTGCGGACTCAAGGGTCCCAGGTTCGATTCCGGTCAAGGGCATGTACCTTGGTTGCGGGCACATACCCAGTGGGGAGTGTGCAGGAGGCAGCTGATCGATGTTTCTCTCTCACCGATGTTTCTAACTCTCTATCCCTCTCCCTTCCCCTCTGTAAAAAATCAATAAAATATATATATTTTTTTAAAAGATAAATATATTTATACTTATGTAATCCATTTTTAAAATTTATTAAATTTGTTACTAAGCTGTAGGCTTTTGCTCCGTATTGATGGTGACAAGCTTATATGTCTGTGTAGCAAGCCCCACTGAATATTGAATGACAAGGTTCTGAGCAACCTGCTGTTGCAAGGCCCCAAATTTCTTGGACCACCTCACTGGAAGTTTTGATGTATAAAGATCTCCCTTGTTCAACCTTTTCAGGCTGATAAAATCACCTGGTTAGTGCAAAATGCAAAGTTAGTTCACTTTCTCTGCTACTTTAGTAGAGAAACTTGGCGAGTTACTCCCAGCACGAGAGTATAAGCGATGGTAATGTAAGGTCAATCCGGGCAGGGTTTTCCGTTCTTTTTATTAATCGCTATTTCTTTCATGGCTAGAATCTTGCCTCGGACATAGCAGGCCCTCCGTTTATATAATTGTTGACTAGTTAGTACAATACGTTATTCCCAGGTGATCCTTAGGAGTAAGTCTCTCAGAAAGGAGAAGAGTTGCATTGTTGCTCTAGGAAGCAGTAATTGCCACTTGATACAAGGCATTCTGACCATGTGCCTTCCTGACTAGAAAATATATTTTTAGCATCTCTTTTGGAGGCAAATGATGCTCAAAGTTAAAGGTACAAGCAGCATGTCTGCAGTTCATGGCAGGAATGATTTAGTGAATAGAGCATTGACTTGCATTGAAAGACACGCCTGTCCCTGAGCAGCTCGCACCTTGGAGAAGCTGGCGGCAGACCCCTGGGTCACGCAGCCTGTGGATCTTGCTGACTGCTGAAGAGAGGTGTGTAGAATAAACAAGCCAGAAAGCCAAGTTCTGCCCACTGGGAATCTGGAGACGGAGAGCAAGCAGGAGCCCAGGGAAGTGGCCCTGGGGGAAGCTGCACTGGGCCTCTTGCTCCAGGGGAGGCCCCTCAATGCCAGTGTTGTTTGCGTGAAGTGGCCCCGCACTGTGATTGCTGATCACTGAATGCCAGCTTCTGCTGCTCTCCTTCACTCAATTAGGAAATCATATTGTTTTCAGGCAGAGAGAGTAAATTCTTAAGAACTTCTAAAAACTCAGGTGCAATTTTAATAAATGCAAGAACAAAAGCCAATGATACTGTATTATCTGAGATTCATAAAACAGACTTGCAATTCATTTTTTTTTCAGGACCTTGAAAAAAAAAACATTCATACTCTAAAAGGGCTTTCGGTATATGAACTTCTGAAAGGTATAAAAGTTGTTTAATCCTCTTTCTACTTTTGTATAAATGCATGTACTTTTGTTTCCTCCGACTTGCTATATGCTCATTGCTACGTGGACTTAGTAAAACTGGTTAGCCAAATGACCAGACTATTTAATTAATTTATTTCCTTGAACATTTTTTCCAACTAAAGCTTTAAAAATATTTTTTTTTTATTGATTTCAAAGAGGACGGGATAGGGAGAGACAGAAACATCAATGATGAGAGAAAATCATTGATTGGCTGCCTCTTTCACACCCCGTACTAGGGATCAAGCCCACAACCCAGACATGTGCCCTGACTGGGAATTGGATCGTCATCTCCTGATTCATAGGTAGACGCTCAACCACTGGGCCATGTCAGCCAGGCTAAAGCAACTTTATAAATTAAAAATGTTATTAAACAAAAACCAACAAAAAAGGTAAGGAGAGATCAACAAAAATGTGGCTATAAAGCAAGAAGTGGTGTAGGTCAGTTAGCAACTGAGATAGTGTGTTCTGCATTGAGCATCCACACCTGGTTCCAGTTTTGTTTTTTTCTAAACTAAAAATCCCCCTACTTCTTGGATGTGGCTTTCAATCAGTAAAATAATGAAGGATGCTGGACTATATAAACTCTAAATGTTCTTTTTCTTATGTTTTATGCTGCAGGGGGCCTTGGCTGCCTTCATGAGCACTAATCAGTTTGACAGAAAACAAATACCCCCCCATTCTGGTGGAATATTATGATTTTTCCACTACAAGCTCAATTTACACATTTCTATCTCTGATTATTATAGAGAAAACTCCTGACCTGGAAACATTTCCTTACTTTGATCCTGGGGTCTGAATCTCATTTTCTCAGCATTCTTTATAAAACAAAATTTTCAAAATGTCAGCAAATCCTCTTGAATATATCAAGAATAAATAGTCCATCAAGGGTGGTATCTCCAGAGGTTCATCCACATTACTGCTAATTGAACATTAGAGAGAAGTGTTTTCACGAATGATGTTGCATATTGACTACCTAACATAGATTGAGTCTCAAAGCAATCTAATTTGTTTAAGTAGGGCCACTAATTATTTAGCACAAGTTTTATCTATTCTGTAGCTCAACAACACTAAAAGTTTAAACCTGCTGATGTCATTCTTTCTTAATGCATTTTGGTTCTTGGATGCTAGCAACATGAAAATGACTTGTGTCACAAGTTATTGGTTGAGATTATTTGGGAGTGAAAGAGAAGAACCTTGACTACTTGGTATTCTAGATTATTTGGTTGGCTACAAAGGTGAAGAAACCAGGGGCAGACAACCAGAACCCAAAAGTGATATCACAGAAACATAGTAAAAAAAAAAAAAGACTGTAAATTGCTAGCAAAGGCAAATAAAGCCACATGGGTAAACACAGACACAGAAGGGAATACAAATACAGCAAATAGACAGCCTGAAATGGAACAAAATCAGGCAAATTATGGCAGGAGTCAGATGAGGTTACACCACAAAGACCTGGGACAAATCTGATTTGCCTGTAGAGATTGGCCTAGCTCTCTAGACAGAGACTGCTAATTATTTCCTTAATCTCCATATCCAGTATCTCCGTTTTCCCTTAATAGAATCATCCAAATTTTAGCTGAACACGTGGCCACTTATCTACAGAGAACATTTCCCAGCCTGCCTTGCAGTTTGGGATGGCTTCATAACTCAATTCTGGCTAATGAGATGTCTGGAGAGGTCATGTGTGCACCTTTCTGCATAGCCTCCAACAGAAGCTGTTTGCCTTCCACTTCTTTTCCCACCTACAGACTAGAATGGGGATGATGTGATGCTGAATCATGTGACCGAGGCTCATCTCCTAAAGCAGAGTGGAGCAACAAGAAAGACACAACCTGGTCTTTGATGAACTCATGGATAAGAACCATCTTGCCCACGTGGTCTGCCAACCAGGTCAGATTTTTTTTTTGCAGGAAAGGGCTCTAGATACCACTGAACTAATATCCTAACTCAGTCCATCTTTCTTATTCCTCTTTATTCTACGTGTGCATACACGTGCATATGTGGGCATATGTGCCTTAAAGTTACCTGATGCATCATTGATAATGTGAACATGATTACCACAAGTGAGATGACTTAAATAATTTAAGATTAAGGGGGAAAAATCATGGAAATATGAAACTGTAACATGTGTTTTATCTGTGAAGTTATACAGCCTATTTTAAAACTATCATAATCCAAAGTAGTTGAATCAATATCGGTTTTGGGAATTTAAGTTAGGAGGATAAAACATTTCATGAGACAACATCTGTACAGTCTGAAACCCCTTTCTTTTCTTTCTTTCTTTTTTGAAAGAGAGGAAGGAAGAGAGGGAGGGAGGGGGGAGAGAGAGAGAAACATCAATCAGTTGCCTCCCATAGATTCCATGACTGGGGACTGAACCCACAACCTGGGTATGTGCCCTGACCTGGAATCGAACCCACAACCCTTTGGTGCACGGGATGACACGCCAACCAAACTGAGCCACACTGGCCAGGCCTGAAACTCCTTTCTATTAATTGTTACCCATTGGCAACAGTTATCAATAAAGAAATCATTAATTGAATATTAATAATAAAATAAATTGTTATTGGATTATCGACTTAGTGATATATACAAAGAACCTGGTTACTAGTGGTTCCAGGCTCACTGCTGATTGTGCTGATATGGGAACCAAGAGTAGAGCTTGGCTTCTCCCCACCTATATAGCTGGGACACTTGTTGGTAATCTTATTTGTGCTCAAAATCCTTTCTTAGAAGCAGGTAAAAACCCTGCTAGTTCAACGCCAAAGTGCCTATGCTGTGCTGCAATAGCAGTGCCCTCTTCTGGACTTCACTGCTGCCCATCACTGTGTCTTTGGATTTTGAAACATGAATTAAGTAACTACAGGTCATTGGATACTGATTTTGTTTGTTTCTGAACATCATTATATTTACTTACTATCATAGACATGACAATTTACCTCTAATTTATTGCCATAACTTACACAAATTTATCTGTAGGTCAGAAGTCTGACATGGATGTCACTGGGCTGATATCCAGATCTACTGACCACATTCCTTTCTGGAGGTGCTGGGGAGAATCTGTTTCTTTCCTTCTTCCAGCTTCTAAGGCTGTTGTATTCCTTGTCTTGTGGTTCCCTTTCTCCATCTTCAAAGCCAGCAAAGGCAGGCTGAGTCCTTCCCACACTGTATCACTCTGACTTCCTCTCTTGCCTCCTCCACTTGTTTTTAAAGATATATTTTTAAATTGACTTCAGAGAGGAAGGGGGAGGGAAAGAGAAATATAGAAGCATCAAAGATGCGAGAGAATCACTGATCGGCTGCCTCATGAACATCCCCTACTGGGGATTGTGCTGGCAACCCGGGCATGTGCCTTAATCGGGAATTGAACCTGGTTCATAGGTTAACATTCAACAACTAAGCCACACCAGCCAGGCTCCCTCCTCGACTTTTATGATTACATCGGACCCAGGAACCCAGGATAATCTCTCCATCTCAGGGTCAGCTGATTAGGAACCTTAATCTACCTGTAGCCTTATTTCCCTTTGCCATGTAAAGGGACACATGCACAGGTTTCAGGAATTAGGACATGGACGTCTTTGGGGCACCATTACACTGCCTACAACAACCATTTCTGAACTTAGTTGATTAATTTTTTGGCATCACTGATTGTAGCTGAGCTGCTTCTGTAACTGTACTCTTTCCAACACAGGATAGAGATTAGGTGACTCTGAACAATTGGAATGAAAGTAATCGGAGGGTTAAACATGGACATCTCTTATAACCCACAGGAAGTAGTCACTGTAAATTCCTCACCCTCTCAGAAGGTCTGGGTCCCTATGGGGAGGGGCAGGAGTTGTCTGTGTTTCTCCATTTGAGCATATTAACACCTGTCACTGCATAGGAGGAGATTAAAATGAAGGAAACCTCAGAATAATCTCCTCTACCCAAAATCATCCGGACAGGGGTCAGGCTCACTAGAGATATTATGAAGTCACCGTGCATTCAATGCACTATGGTCAATGTGGTCAGACCATCTTCCCCTCTGAGTTTTTCCAGCTTTGTTTTCTTAAACTGAGCTTACCTCAGAGATAAGAGAGCCTTGGAACCAAATTCTTTTGTGCTCTCAGCAACTAAGCCTTCTTTGGTTGGTACTGGAGAAATTCCTGCCTTCTCTCTGCCTTAGAAGAGCTGTTTGGTAGAAATTCCATTCTAGCTGAATTGTTCTCAGAATCAGACTCCCCTGAACCAACAAAATACCACAGTGCACTAACAGCTGCAGCTGGCCCTTCCCTGAGCTACCTGTGACCAACAGCAGAGTCTGACACAGTATTCGACATGAGAAGAAGGTGCAATTTCAAATGTAATATGGTGTGGGTAATTCAATTTCTAATAGAGATACTGTATAGTTTCCTATATTTCTTGTTTATCTTTGTTAGCATTACAAAGTAGAATAGCTATCTCCCACTCTTTGGCTGGCTCTCTCAACCCTGACTCGATTGATCATCTAAAAATGACTAGAATATGTGGCAATAAAAAAGAAAGAACTCTTACCATTTGCAACAGCATGGATGGACCTGGAGAGTATTATGCTGAGCAAAATAAGCCAGTCAGAGAAAGATTACTATCACATGATCTCACTCATATGTGGAATCTAATGAACCAAATAAACTGATGATCAAAAATAGACCCAGAATCATAGAAGCATAAACAGACTGTTGAACCTCAGAAGGAAGGTAGAGGAGGGTGGGTGGGAAGAGATCAATCAATGAACTTGCATAAGCCCTGGACACAGACAATGGGGTGGTAAAGGCCGGGTTCGAGGGGTTGAATGGGAATGGACTGGAAGAAATAAACTGTGATCAAAAATAGACCCAGAATCATAGAAGCATAAACAGACTGTTGAACCTCAGAAGGAAGGTAGGGCAGGGTAGGTGGGAAGAGATCAATCTATGAACTTGTATGCAATATATGAATAACCTGTGGATACAGACAATTGGTTGGTGAGGGCCTGGGGTGGGGGAAGACGAGAGTAGGCTGGAAAAAGGGGGACCTGGGTAATACATTCAACAATAAAGATTTAAAAAACTTAATAAAATAAAAAATAAAAATGATTTGTATTGCTGGAACTTAAATTTCACAATGTGACTCCCTGATTCCCAGTACCAGAGTCCTTAGGAAATAGCTTAAAAGTAGGACACAATTGCACATTATGTTGCTTAAGGTTAGGTAAAGTAAGAAAACTTTTGTCATAAGAACTGACTACCTATTGCAAATAATGTAAGAATTGAAAGTGTATATTAATTCCAACTACACACAATAAAGTAGTATTTTAAATGAATAAAAAATGTAAGTCATAAAACCATAAAATTCCTACAAGAAACCATAGACAGCAAAATCTCAGACATCTCTCACAGCAATATGTTTGCCAATACATCTCCTAAGGCAAAGGAAACTAAGGAGAAAATAAACAAATGGGACTACATCCGAATAAAAAGCTTTTGCACAGCAAAAGAAACCATCAACAAAATAAAAAGGGAGCCCACTGCATGGGAGAACATATTTTCCAATGATACACCTGTTAGGGAGTTAATATCCAAAATATAGAAGGAACTCATACAACTTAACAAAAGGAAGACAAACAATCCAATTAAAAACTGGGCAAAGAACCTAAATAGATACTTCTACAAAGTGGACATACAGATGGCCAAGAACCTATGAAAAAAGGTTCAATGTCACTAATCATTAGAGAGATGCAAATTAGAATGACGGTAAGGTATCACCTTACACCTGTCAGAAAGGCTACCATCAACAAATCAACAAATGACAAGTACTGGCAAGAATGTGAAGAAAAGGGAACCCTCGTACACTGCTGGTGGGAATGCAGACTGGTGCCACTATGGAAAATAGTATGGAATTTTCTCAAAAAATTAAAAATGG